ATGGATGGATGGATGGATGGATGGATGGATGGATGGATGGATGGATGGATGGATGGATGGATGGATGGGTGGGTGGATGCAGCCTTTTGTCTTTGCAAAACCCTATTCTGTTGATGGTGCAGTTGTCATGTTGGTGGTTTGTTGAAAAATGCAGCTCGATTGAACCACGCATCATTGATACCCAATGATGTGTTTTAAGGCCACCAGAAAGCTTCTTTAGGGGACATGTTTTAGGTAAGTAGTTTACTCACCATACATGTTGCTGTATTCGGTTGGCTGACCTAGACTAGTTTTTGGAATTAAAGAAATAGTCCTACCCGCCACCAGAAAGACACAGTCCTAACCCACTTGTTTCCATTTATCTACCAGAACCCATCCATCCATTTGTTATAGCTGTTACTCCTATTAGGGTGGAAAGAGGTCTGGGGCCAATTTCTTTCACAGGGCAACACAAAGATGAACAACCACACACTCATATTCCCTCCTTGGGACACCTTATGGCTTTCAAATAACCTAACATGCATGTAGGCCGGGAATTTAAACTTGGAACTGAAACTAAATCTGCCTCATTATCGTATTTTTCTTCTTTTTTACCACTGTGCAGTATATATTAAACATTAAGAATCCTGTGTGACATTCAGCTATGAAACATTCATATCAAAGCCTTTCACTAGTTGGAAGCCACTAAGCTCTGTTATATTCCTCCATTTTTACCCCTTAAGACTTTATAAAGACCAACAAACACAAAAATCTGTGGGGCTGATTGTTGAGAATTTTTATTGTCTGAGGTTCATGCTTTCCTTCAACATCTAAAAGCAAAGCACATGTGATGTGATATTAAGAAACTATTTCTCTTGAATCCTGAGTCACATCCAAGGTATGAAACATTCATAGCAAAGCCTTTCATCAGTTGGCAGCAACTAAGCTCTATTATGTTCCCCCAATTTTTATCTCAAAGACCTTATTCCCTAAAGAACCAACAAACTTTTAAAAATCTGTGGGGCTGATTGCTGAGAATTGAAACTGTTTGAGTTTCACACTGGTCTTAAACATGTAAAGGAACTGCATGCGAAGGACTTGTGATGTGATATTGAGAAACTGTTTGTCTTGTGTTTCCCATAGGGACGTGATGGGTTTCTGAACGGACGACAAGCTGTCACACCACACACGGCGTGAAGCCTCCTTCTCATCTCACTGTGCAGGACTGGGTCCCCCAGTAGAGGCTTAGGGATGTATCAGGAGGTGGCCTTTCTGGCAGGGAGCACAGACCACCAGTTCACCAGCTTCCATTTCAACCGCGTGGAGAACCCACAAGAGGTCACCTCCAAGAAGGGCTTGTTCTACAAAAGAGCCCAGCTTCTGCTGCAGCCTCAGCCGCCAGCCGGAGACCAGATCGGCCTGGCTGACAGGGCGGCCATTATCAATGTGGGGGGCATAAAGTACCACATCCCCTGGTCTACGCTGGATGAGTTCCCCATGACGCGCCTGGGTAGGCTGCGCGGCTGCAGCAGCGAGGCGGAGATCATGGACGTGTGCGACGACTACGACGGCAGCCGCAACGAGTATTTCTTTGACCGAAGCCCGTCCGCCTTCCGCATCATTGTGACGTTCCTGGCCGCTGGGAAGCTCAGGCTTCTGAGGGAGATGTGCGCCTTGTCCTTCCAGGAGGAACTGCTGTACTGGGGGGTGGAGGAGGACAACCTGGAGTGGTGCTGCCTCAGGAAGCTGCGCCTCCGGCAGGAGGAGTACAAAGAGCAGCAGAGGCTGGAGGAGGAGGAGGCCGAGCTCACCTCGCCCCAGAGCTGCGAAGAGAGCCAGCAGCCCCCGGGGGGGCCGGAGGAGACCTTCACAGGGGGCTGCATGCGGAGGCTGAGGGACATGGTGGAGAACCCCCACTCCGGCCTGCCGGGGAAAATCTTCGCCTGTCTGTCGGTGTTGTTTGTAGCCATCACTGCTGTGACACTGTGTATCAGCACAATGCCCGACCTCAGAGAGGAAGAGGAGAGGGTGAGTTTACTTTTTCTTTTGGTCCTTCTCCTAGTCTTAGCTGAAAAGAATTTGAATAATTCAAAAGTCTGCTGTTCCACAACCCGGACAAACACAGCGCTGAATATGGAGTTCAGCACTCATTCAGAAACACCCCACACACAGAAACACACCAGCAGACTACTGGAACATTTCTGAATGGATTAGTCAGATAAGATAGTGCTGATCAGTCATATATAGAGTAAACTAACTAGCAGTTATGTTCACTCACAAGTGGTCTCAGTTGGGTCTGACTTTGGAGCCTTATTGCTAAACAGATTTCTATCCTGCCCAGAAAAATCTGTGCTCAGGAGTGTTTTGCTTTTTTGTCCTTCTCCCTTTTAATACGGCTACAGGTTTGTTTGCACAGCAGCTACAGTAGAATTCAAATATATGTTGATGCTGCTGCCCACATAGGGAGATTTTCGGGGCTTTATGGTAAATGGTTGTGACATGGTAGGAGAGGGCTCAGGGACAACTTCTTCATTTGAATATCAAATGGTGCTTGTCACTGTTTGTGCATGCTGTCCTGGTCTGCATACTGTCTCGCTCAGAACATGCAAAAAAGACAACAAACACAGCAGTGAGGTGATAACGCAGCTGTGGATTCACACGTCTTTAAATGACTAAAAGGATTTGAGAGCATTGGCAAAACCCCATAACTATGCTTCCAATGCAGCAGATTTGACTTGACCTGCTTTCAAAAGCTAATGTAAAATGAGCTGAAATGAATGCGAAATAAGCTAATTATTGTTATGTAACTGTATGATTATGCATATTGCATCTATGATGTCTTAATCTGGAGAGTTTGTCTACTAATACCTTACCTAGACCAAATGACCGGTAAACACAGCTGGAGCTGGAAACAGGAATGCTTTTAGTTATATCGTGTGTTTTTGAATGTATCATTTGAAAGGGATTTGTTTTAAGAGCAACTCAATACTTACTGAACAGTGTGCTACTGCTTTATGGTAAATTCTGCAGATCATGAATCCAAAGGAGAGCAACAGGACTCAAATTTTACTTGTCTGGAAAAAAAACTGGAATGGGTCCCGTAAAATATATTTTGGAAGCTTTGGGTTTTGATTTTTGGTTTAATGTTGGTGCAGTTTTATAGCCAAAAAGAAACAGTACCTGCAGGGGTCTGGAACCTGACTTATCATTGTAAAAATGACTTTCAGTTATGACATCTTCTTTTACACTGTCAGGTAATATAGGCAATACATTACATCCATAATGATTGAAAAAGCATGAACTGTGGGTGAAGCCCAAGAGAAATTTCTCCATCGTATAATTGTTCTAACATTTACAGCTTGTTCGTGTTTCTCTGATGTCTCCTGTATTTGAGCTCTTTCTTCTTGGCATACTGAAGCTAAAATCTTCAAAGGTTACATAGGGAGACCCCATAACACAAATAACCAGGACAAGGATGAAGTTGGGAAGAAATACTCCATTTTTGCTGGAAAAGGCCTCTTAAGGCTTTCTATTCTGCAAGCTTTAGAAGCTCTGTTAGTGTTTAGTTTAATGATTTAAATGAAATATTTGTAATATTAGTAATTATTTCAGGTAGCTACAAATGCTTTAATGTGCCAGTGCCAGCCCCAAACACCAATCAACGTGGTTCTGCTTGGACTACCAGAAAACTCATTCTAGACCCATAAAAGATGGTGCAATATTCTTGCTTACTGTTAAAAAAAGCTCTGAGTTTGTACCAAAAACATGAGCATTAGATTGATTGTTCACACCAGACTGTTAGTGGGAGTTAATGTGAGTGTGCCTGGTTGTGTCTCGTTGCTATGCGTGGCTCTGTGGTGGACTGGTGACCTGTCCAGTGTGTGCCCTCCTCTTGCCCAATGGCACTTGGGACAGGGTCCAGTCCCCTGTAACCTTACTGGGAATAAACAGTGAAGACAGTGGGTGGGTGGATGGACGATCACATGGCTCTGCTGTGGGTGGCTGGCCCTCAGTTAGAACTGGTGCTGCTTTTTGGCTTTTTTAACAGGTTGAAGTTAAGCTGGAGCCTATTTCAGCTGAACAGGTCATCAGTCTATCACAGGGCCACACAGAGACAAGCAACCACACAAAATCGCATTTATTCCTAGGGTCAATTTGGGGTGTTAAATCAACCTAACATGCATGCTTTTGGATAGTGAGAGAAGCTGGAGAGAATAAATTAGTTTCCGTTTTATGATCTATTACATGACAAAGGCATTATTCTTACTTAAAAGGAGCAAGCAATTGCACGGTTAAGCAGATTAGAAAGCACTGTCAGCTTCTCCTTCACGATCAGACATTCAATAGCAGATAAGGATAGATTCACACGGAAGATAAGATGGCAGATTTTGCGCCAGTGACGGAACTCGTTTCACTGAAACACCGAGCAACGTGTTGATACTCACACCCTACTGTCTGTGGTCTCTAATTATGTCTGAGAGTGACAAAAGAGCACATTCAATTGTTGCTTTGTTCGTTTTGCAAGAGGAGAAATTTTGCTATTTGAGACTCTTTATTCCGACTAACTACACATGTTGTCAAAGTCCCTGACAAGTAGGGAGAAAATGCATATTAAAGCCGATGATGTCTTCCTCCTCAGCCTTTTCATGTCCTCCTCTGCCCAGGAGTCAGGCTGCAAAGTAGCTTTGTATCAGGTTATTTCATCTTTTGAGTGGCATCAACAGACTGGAGTGTGATTAGAGAGGAGCCCTGCAGCTTCTCCCTCTGTCAAAGGTATGCATTCATCAGCAAAGGCTGTGGAGGAATTGATGGCATTTGTATAAAGAATGGAGGCTTAAAAAGAAAAAAATTCAATCGAGAAACCAAAGCCAGTAAACGCCAAACTGAGACTAGCTTAAACATATTCTTATCTTACTTGCAATCTTTGGTCTTCACACACCTGCACTAATCCACAGATTTAATTGCTTGAATCAAAAGAGAAAAAGGTATGATCAAGGAGACGGTGCATTTCAATCTGTAGACAGCGGCGAGTCGTCTCATAGTGGCGCCAATTAACCACCCCGAGACTCCCGAAAAGTCTCCGTCCTTCACTGTGAGAACGGCTGGTTCATTAGGAACGACCAGCTAATTTTACCCAGCTACAGGAGGTAACATCATAACATGAGAGTTGACAGAAATAATGAGGGGGTCGTGTCATTCTTGAAAAAGGTGCCATCTCAAATAAAAAGCGGAGGATTTCCAGGTTTCTTGATGTAAAGAGAATCGTTCTGAAAATGTATCTACGGACAGTTTTTAGTCAACTTTCCTTTCTTCTATCTTGGACATTACAGTTTGACATCTCCAGATTTGAAATAATGTGGAGTCTATGCCCATTTTTTCCAACTCGTTCCCTGTGGTAGGGACTGGCATAGCACCAGCAACCTCTTCCTCCTCAGACATAAACAGACATAAATGTATCGTGGCGTGCAGAATGCAGTTTCGCATTGTCCTGTCGATTAAGTGCTGCTCTTAAATCTAAGAAAACATGCTTGCATGAAAGCTGCCATCGCAGAGGTGCAGACTGCTGTGCCAGTCAATAAGATTCCACACATAGATGGAGCCTTATATATATTCTTTGCTTTCTATTTCTTTGTACAAAGAATAACTATTTAGATTGTCAAACAAACAAATGTGTGCTTTCAATCCCGGGCACTTTTGGGAACTCTAAGAAGTGAAACTGAGTTTCTTTAGCTAATTACCAGATCTCTTTCAGCCATGTCCTCCCACTCATATTTCTCCCTTTTTGAGCATCCCAGTATCCATTACTTTTGATAGCCAGCCATTTACATCAGCACGATCCTCCTTACAAAAGCAAACTATTGATTTTGTAAAAGACTTTTTACCATGGAGAACTATGTGATATTAGTACCTCCATACATTCAATTCAGTTCATTCCACTTTTATTTAAGAAAGAAACCCTTGGAGGAACCTGACTCTGGAAGGGTGGCCATGTGTTTGACCAGATGGGATTTGAGAGGACGACAAAGAGCTGGAGACAAAATGCATTAACCCATCATCAGAATTAAACAAACTTAGTCCTGCCCACTGACAGCTGAGATAGGATCCAGCCCCTTTGCTACCGTACTTTGAATAATTTAGATATACAAAATGGATGGCTGGTCATAGACAATAACATAAATGCATGTACTTTGATAATAAAACAATCCCGAGGTTGGTTTAGATGGTACATGACAGCCATATTTATCACCACCTATCGAGCTTTGTTGTCTCAACGTACTAAGACATGAGACTCTAATGACTTTCATACAGAAAGATAACAGTAGATAGCAGGCGAAGGTGTTTGGATTGGATAATGAAAGAGCATCAGCTAAAGGTTCTTCTCATTAAAGGTTGTATTAGCATATCCAATATCCACACATATCCGCTGTTTATTTCCACAATGCTAGGGCTCTTCGGTCTGTATCTCTCTCTACCCTGTTTCCTGTCTCTCTCCTATGTCAAATAAAGGCCACAAGACAGGTTATCATACTTTGGCTTACAGGCTGATGATGTGTTATATTATATTTTTATCCTTCCACATGGTGTCCAGGAGTGACTGCAAAGTGCTAAGTAGCAGTAAAGCTCAAACGTCACTTTAGGGGCTATAAGAAGAAGAATTTATATTCTTACTTTTACAAAAACAAAAGCTACCTGCAGTATATTGTGCTCAAAATGGGTTGAAAACTTGATAGTAGGATTTTTCACAGAATGGTCTCCAATTAGAAAGAAAAAATATACCATTATTGTTTTAGTGTCAATCTTGATTTGTTTGTCTCACCAATGGCAGCTGGGATGGGCTTCAGCCACATCATTTAACTATCACATCGTCCATCAATATCTCTATAGTGCATGGACAAAATGTCCAAATTCAGCTTGTTTAAGAATGAATTACATACTTAGAAGTAAACAGACTGACCAGTCACCAGGCCATCAGAAACGAGCTGGACTGTAATCTGCTGAAACATGACCAGTACTCATGTCAGCAGTGT